CGTCTCTAAGGTGCCACAAGTACTCCTGTTCTTCTTTTTACAAATAAAACTGTTAGTCTTTAAGGTACCACCGGACTCCTTGTTGTTTTTACACGAGTGTTAAACTCTCTACAGAAAGGATCTCATGTTTATTTTAGCTCACTTTATCTCATTTTCAATTGTTTTCTATTAACTTCTATCACACTTTTCCTCCAGCCATTTATATTTCCAGCTACTGTACCTGAAAAAGCCAGCCCAGCACTGCAAGTATCAGTAGCTTGTTTAGGAAACTCATCTCCTTATCTTCAGAAAGAACCAGGCATCTGCCATGGAGAAAGGGCAGTAGAAGAGACCATTAAAACTCAGCTGCATTAATAAAAAAATATTCTCGCTATACTATAACTTGTCTCCATGCTCTCCATTTCCTTGACCTGTTCCCTGCCTTGTCTACCTTAAAGCTCAGGCTCTTTTGAGCAGGGAAGGTGTCTTAGCTTGTGCATGAGGAGGTGGGGGTGTATAAAGTGCATTGTACATTTGGTCTGCAGCAGACAGTTTGGTGACCTGAGGACATGCTACAAATCCCATCTCTTTGCATTGTTTTTTATGGAGGGGAGAAGAACTGAGAATATTTGGGCAGTGGGGAACTTTGCGGAGGGACTTAAGTTTATATTTTGCAGCTGCACACGGCTTGAAGACACATGGGAAGTTGTATATATTTGGTCAAACTCTATATTTTAATCAAGTGTCAAAGGTTCCCAGAGCTTGTGATGGACTCCTCTTAACATAGTATAAAATCAAAAGAAATACAAGTGATTTACAGCTGTAACAGGGACAGAAGAATTAAGCGATTTTTATAATGGTCCCACCTGAGGGCAAGCATGCAGCCTCACAGCCACCATTTTGGAAGAAGAGTGGGACGTGATTATCATAGCAAAGAAATGTTCTCAAGCAGGTGCAGGCATCCTTGCTCAGTCTCTCACCTGTACAGCTGCAGCAGGAGGGAAAATACCCTCCCGTAGTAGTCAAGGAATGGAGCAAAATGGTCCACAAGGGAGAGGAACTCTACAACCCAAGGAACGGTAAGGATAGTACGTCGGTTCAAGATAGATCGTCTCAGGAGCTTCAATACATCCAGTACAGGCAGGGTCTTGATGGGGAACACACATTAAGTCAACTTAAAGTAGTCTGAAGCTAACTTTTCACACTTACTTTAAAAAGAAAAATCTACATCTACCTTATGGCTTTTCTTTCCATGATTTAACATTTTGTACAATTAAGTGGTAACAAAATGGCTAGGGTTTATATCTCTGTAACTTCCAGTCGCTGGAGATCTATATAAATTAAATAACCTGCTAGTAATAGCTAATGGAGATCCCACTGTAGCTTTGAGAAGATGGTCTTCTGGCTAGAACCCTGACCCGGTGTCAGGAGATCTGGGTTCAATTCTTACAGACAATAAAAGGCAATTTGAATCTGGTTTGACATATTAGTGGAAGTATTTAGCAGAGGGCTGAGACACTCCTGAAAGTGTTTCTGGCAGTAGAACCTGACACAATGCAAAGGAAGTCTTTCCAGTGTATTCAGGTCTTCGATACAATGGCCATGATTCAACAGCATCATCTAAGAAGTTCAGCACTGCACCACTTACTAACACCTCCCTCTTCCCTATCTCATACGCTCTTCTTCACCCAACAGGACACACACATAGGAGACAGGACACAGCACAGTGTGGAATGTCATTTTGGAGTCTGTTCCACCTCACGAAATGATGCTGCCAGAGGCAGCAGAGTAATATCTGCCTCATCTGGGGCAAAGGAAACTTACTTGCCAAGCAAAAGCACAGGCTGGTTCTCCAGCAGGTTACTTACTTGGTTCCTTAATGCCACTGCAGACTCCTGCAAGTCTCTGCTCGGTGGTTCCACTGTTTGGTATGGCAGGAAAACAAGAAATCCTAGAAATTTTGCCAGGAGCCGGAGAGTCATCAGGGCCGCAGTGAAACGCTTTTTTTCATCCTGAAATGGAGAGAAGGAAAACTGGTCAGGGACAACACCACACCAAACTGGAAGGCAGTTATCTACCAGAGTTCTTTTCTTCCTGCATGGGAAATGCCTGCCAGCTTCATCCTCCCCACCACTCTCTGAAAAACTTTCCCCCCTACAACACAGAGAAGGGCACTCTGCAATATTCAAGTCTCCTTCAAAAGCGGAGTTCAACAATCAAGTAAAAAGCAACAGAGGGTCCTGTGGCACCTTTGAGACTAACAGAAGTACTGGGAGCATAAGCTTTCGTGGGTAAGAACCTCACTTCTTCAGATGCAAGTCTACCCCTCTGATACTTAACAATCAAGTGTTTACAGGACCTGGCCCTTCTCTTCAAAGCCCTGCATGGACAGAGGCTGAGCTATGTGACCTCATGTCTCTCTACTTTTCTCCATGGTAGATGGGTTCCACAAAAATGTTTCCACTGACAGAGTCCAGGTTTCAGTTTAAGAGCGTTTTCAGCAGAGGACCCTCAATTGTGAAGCTCACTACTACAAGAGATGAACCTGAGCCCACCTCTTCCAGCCTTCAAAGTCTCACCTCTTCCAGCAGGCATTCCCTTAATCACATTGCAATACAGCCCCAGAAACATGCTCTGGGGACATGCCACTTAGACCTACAAAAGCAGCTTAGAATTGAGTGCAAGTAGAGCCCTGGCTCCTCCTCCAGAGAGACCAGTGCAGTACATTTAATCAGTATAAATGTAACTAGATATTGTGGTGATGGGTACATTTAAATTACATACATAAATGGCTGTACACAGATCCTGTCTTCACTGTTGCACTGGCTACTCAGGGGATAGTCCCATTACTGCCATAAGCAACAAATGAATCCAAGATCTTTTTCTTAAAAAAAGAAAGAAAGCAAGAAGCTGCTCAAACAGTCATACTTCCATATTAAATTACTAATCTTAACCTGATATTCCTGCACTCCTCCATCTCTGGCAATGAAGCAAGAGCAATCAGCACATAGCCAACATCAGCTGAGTAGCAGCTGCATATCTCTGAGAATTGAGAGAGCCGTTTCATTCTGAAAAGTGACTTGGTGAAGATGGCAGCCTGGGGTCCTACGTGTGCTCTGTCTCAGTGACTCCAGACTGTTTGCTCATCACAGAAGCTGCCGGCACCACAAACACATCCTAGGATCTCAGCTAAACTAAATTTGTGGCTTGTGCAACATGATCATCAAAGATCCTGCTGGCCATATTCTGCCCTCTGTTAGACCTGTGCAACCCTCAGGATTTTAGTGGAGTTGCACAGGTATAACTAGGCAAAATTTGAGAACAATGGGATTGCACAGTTAGCCTTACAAACATAGGTATGCTAGCTCTACAGGGTTAACATGATTTTTTTTTAAATGTTAAAAGTTACTTTATTTGTACTGCAGTCAGACCATCACTCAACACACAGTGAACAGACCTGCTAAGACGTCTTTTAAAACACAAAACTTGACCCTTTTCAGAATAGAACCACATTTTAAGAGTTGCTAAACATCAAAAGGTGCCATAGTTCGCATAGCTACACCTGTGACCATAACTGAGCACATGTAAATGGTAGCAGGATAGAGAGGCAAAGTTAAAGTGGCTACTGGAACCTTGGGGGAGAATTTCTTATCTTCCAAACATACTGATGTAACTTAAAAAAATATTCTAAAATACTATTTAAAGAGGATAATAATTGCAACTATAACTGAATTTTAAACAAGTCTTATTATTATTTATATCACTGTAGCAACTAGGAAACCCTCGTCATGAACCAGCTCTTGGACTGATCCAATGAACAAGTTCTTAGTAGGTGTCTGGAACATATTACTTACCTGTTCATCCATATCTGCCTCCCCATCACTAGGTTCATGCTCTACCAAAGTAAGGCCATCCAGCTCGAGTATCTTTAGACACAGGCTATCCATCAGGTGCTGGTTGAACTGGTAGCTTCAGCAAAAGATGAAAGTCAGACTGAAAATAGCAGTGGAATCTCAACTAACATTTAAGCCTTAATCACTGAAGTGGGGGACGGGCTGATACAAAACATCAATTCGTTTAAGGGAGGAACTCCAAGTGCATTGTGTGGCCAAGAATAGCACTGTCTAACAGCCAGACAGAGCCTGGGCAGACTCCATACAAGTCTCGCCACACAGCTCTGTCAGTGCACTAACCAACCTCAACATTGACTAACCACCTTTTCCATTCTAATCTTGGGCCTCTCTGGAACAGAGACTCCCCTTATTCTCCAACAGCGTGCTAGTTCTAATGCTGTGGCTAAACATTTACAGATGAGACTGTGAGGGCCCTAAACTCATTTCAGTTGCAGTCTACGGGAGATCTGAATCTATGCCGTGGAACATGAAAGGCTAACCATAGAACAGCCCCATACTCCATGGCAGGGCACTGACCACCACCCTGTAAGGAACACTTCAGCTGTGCAGAGCTCCTGCTGTTCACTGTTGCATCACCTCGTGGTATTAGAGTACCATGACCCCCTCTGGCAAGACATTCAGTTTGATTCTGTAGCAAGCTAACTAGGAACTAGCCTGATGTAGCTCTTAGGAGAGGAAGATGGATTGTGCCAGTGGATACAAGAGCAACTTGGTAACTACACCAGCCAGGAGTACTTAATGGACAGTGCAAATGGCAACCTTCTTCAGAGTTTGAAAATGTCCCCACTTGGGCTCCACTGTCCCAAAGAGCTGGAGTTCCAAGACCAGTTTCTGAGTTGACTCCCCAACTGCAGCACAAACCAGTGGTATTAGCCAACAACCATCCAAACTTAGCCGAGGCATAAGCAGTGATATGCAGCTAACCTTCCTGCACTGAGAATGAAGTCCCTGAAGAACTGCTGGCACCCTGGGAAGGCAGGGGGTGGGCAGGGCCCTCTGATGCTCTGAGGAACGACAAATCTCTCCTGTAGCCTCTTCAGCCGGCTCAGATTATCGGAACCCAGCATATTAAGGACATCCTGGTCTGGGGTATCTCCCCAACTTGTGCCACCACCAATAGGACCTTTACACATCTTCAGGAGGGGGAAAAAGGAGGGAGATGGGAAATTTATAAGATTTTCTTTTATCTTGGATATTTTGCTCCACCCACACTCTGCCCCATAAAAAGACTTTTGGTGTAGGAGCTTTCTAACCAATGCAAGGAACTGGATGTGGCTCCCTATAGAGCCCATGAATGCTACCTCCTTCAGCCAATCAAGGGAGGGGAGAACATATGGAAAAGCGTACAAGGCCAACACATGCTACCCTCCCAGCCGAGTAGTCTCAGGAATGGAATCCAGATCCCACACATTAACACTAGGACCATAGGCTGCTGGGCCAGCCTGCCTTCCTATTACACAGAGAAAATAAATGCCATGGATAACTGTACAACCGGCATGAACCAGAGTTCAGTCTTCCACGGTTTAGTCTACCGCTCAGGGATCAGGACTATTTAAAACTGTGCTATTTCTCACTGTCATCTACTGCATGTTCCTAGACCAGACTCTGTGGGGCTCCCCAGTGCTTCACAGATTTTAAGTATTACTTGCAGTGGCTCATCCACACAGAGAGCTACAGCTCAGCACTCAAAGGAAGAGGTCTTCAAGCCCTCAGAACTAATCAGGTACCTAGGCACCTCAAGGATGCAACTTTAAATCCTGGCACCACACTGAGACGTAAACTCCTTAAAATACGGTATGACGAGGTTAACATTTATTGCATCTCAATAATTCTAAACTGAACCTGCTCAAGTTTACAAAGGAAAATAATTTAACAACTGCCAACCCTGTAAACTCACCCTGGGCTCTAAGAGTCAAGTTAGATTCCTTCCTGCTCAGGTATCACAAATCACACAGGGCCAGCAGGCCAAGTCCTGGTCAGTTACACTCATACCTCATTGCAGACAAAACATTTTCAACTTAAGTCTTCAGTTACACCTATGAAACCCTACGGTCTTCAATAGGAATGCAAAGATGTAACTGAGGAAGAAATCTGGCCTTGCAATTGGAACTTGTTAACTAACACCTTTTTTGATGACCCCAGTCTCTTAGCTATAATGGTTCTGCAAGGCTAACAGAAGTAGAGAGCAGTAAAACCATATTTTGCTCACTAAAGTCAGCAGATGACAACTGTGGAGACACACAGGGAGCACATTTGCAGAATAAGAAGATAACATTTTTACACAGTCTCTTTTCAGATTAGAAATACACTTAAAAGGTGGGATTTTCAAAGGTGACTAAGGGAGTTAGGTGCCCAACTTGCAAGTTGGGCACCTAATTCCCTTAGTCTCCTTTGAAAATCCCAACCTAAAGGGCCATTGATCTCAAAATATGCATTGCAAGTAGTTTCAAGTACTACACCTGACCAAGCCTGACAATTTTTTGTGGTTTAGTATTTTTTTTTTTTTAATATCTCTCTTTACAGTATTGTGTGAAAGGAGACCCCCCCCCCCAAACAAGGGAAACTGACCAACTATACAGGATCAGCAATAGAAATGACTACACACAAAGCAAACGAGTAGAAAATTCTCTCTGTCTCACAGTGATCTCACACATTATTGGAACAATAGCAGGGAAAAAAATTAGATAGAATAATAATAATGCTTCAAACAGCATCGAGTCTTCTTCTGGGCATAAATAAACCAAAATCAGGGGCCATCATATCCAGACCAGGATCCAGCAGCAACAATTAATTCCACTGAGAAACACAACAAACATAACCGGGCAAGTCTGAATCAGATACACATCAACGTCTAAACATTTTTTTAAAATTTCCAAATGTGTGAATTTTTATTGCTGGTTAAATGTGCCAGGTGAACAGCTGTCAAGACCAAAGCCCTCTGTAGTCACAGCTCCATACACAGCCCTATTAGTGTGCCACAAACCTGACAGAGGAATCATCTCTAAGGTAGAACAGATTAAGTTATCCACTCTCCATCAATTAATTCCCTGGCATATCTGTCCACTGTGGTATGGACACATGTCCATTAAGAACTGTACTGGGAACAAACTTATTTTACACAGCCCATTCTACAGTCATTAGATAATGGCAGCTTCCTACCGATCTATGCTGGATTTGAACTGATAAAATTATCCCGGTGAGATATCCATTTTCCCCACCCCCTCAAATAATTCCATTCACTCAGGAAAGAGTTCAATTACAGGAAAAAGTATGTGTACATATGTATAAATACTAGGTTACATTTTGCTATAGCTTAGCAAAATTGCTCTGTTTATGGAAAATACAATAAAATTATTTACCTGGATAAGCTGTTTCTGAAAGAGCCTGGCAAAGTGGCTGTGATTATAGGCTGCTGTGAGGTGATTCATCATAGCCCTGGGAAACAAAACAAACTGCTAAAACCATAAAAAGCCAATCAAAACAGAGTCTACATACAGCTACAGCAGAAGCACAATGTGATTTCTTTAAAAAAACAATGCCTTCCAACGCTATATAAATAAGAAAACAAGGAAAGAAGAAGAAGTGGGATGAATCTGTAAACTCAAGGGTCGTACCCTACGACTGGAGAATTGCTAATATAGTTCCTATTTTTAAGAAAGAGGAAAAAAGTGATCCACGAAACTACAGGTCTCTTAGTTTGCCCTCAAATGTATGCAAGGTCTTGGAACAAATTTTGAAAGAGAAAGTAGTTAAGGACATAGAGGTGAACAGTAATCGGGATAAAACACAACATGGTTTTTATACAAAAGGTGGATCATGCCAGACCAACCTGATCTCCTTCGAGAAGATAACAGATTTTTCAGACAAAGGAAATGCAGTAGATCTAATCTACTTGGATTTCAGTATAGCATCTGATACAGTTCCAGATGGGAAATTATTAGTTAAATCAGAGACAATGAGGCTTAATACGAGAACTGAAAGATGGATATGGAACTGGTTAAAGGGAAGACTACAAAGTGTCATATTGAATGGTGAACCATGAGGCTGAAGGGATGTTACTAGTGGAGTTCCTCAGGGATAAGTCTTGGGACCAATCTTATTTAACAGTTTTATTACTGATGTTGGCACAAAAAATGAGTGTGCACTAATAAAATTTGCAGATGACACAAAGTTGGGAGGTGTTGCCAATACAGAAGAGGATCAGAATATCATACCAGAAGATCTGGATGACCTTGTAAAATGGAGTAATAAAAATGGAATGAAATTTAATAGTGCAAAGTCATGCATTTAGGGACTAACAACAAGAATTTTTGCTGTAAGAGGGGGACTGATCAGTTAGAAGCGACAGAGGAGGAGAAAGACCTGGGTGTATTAGTTGGTCACTGGATGACTATGACAATGTGATGTGGCGTGAAAAGGCGAATGCGGTCCTAGGATGTATCAGGAGAGATATTTCCATTAGAGGCAGGGAAGTGTCAGTACAATTATACAAGGCTCTTGTGAGACCTCATCGGAGTACTGTGTGCAGTTCTGTTCTCCCATGTTTAAGAAAGATGAATTCAAACTGGAAGAGGTGCAGAGAAGGGCTACTACGATGATCAGAGGAAGGGAAAACCTACCTTTTGAGAGGAGACTCAAAGAGCTTGGCTTGTTTAGCCTAACAAAAAGAAGGTTGAGGGGAGATATGGCTGCTCTCTATAAATCTGTCAGAGGGATAAATACCAGGGAGGGAGAGGAGTTATTTAAGTTAAGTGCTAGTGCAGACACAAGAACAATGAATATAAACTGGCCATCAACAAGTTTAGGCTCAAAATTAGGCAAAGATTTAATCCCCAATGGCTGGAGATGGGAAACTAGATGGGGAGGACTCTGAGTTATTACAGAGAATTCTTCCCCAGGTGTCTGGTTGGTGGGTCTTGCCTACATGCTCAGGGTCTAACTGATCGCCATATTTGGGGTTGGGAAGGAATTTTCCCCTGGGTCAGATTGGCAGAGACCCTGGGGTGGGGGGTGTTGCCTTCCTCTGCAGCATGGGGCAGGGGTCACTTGAAGGTGTAAACGGTGAATTCTCTGTAACTTGAAGTCTTTAAGACATGATTTAAAGACATCAGTAACTCAGCCAGAGGTTAGGGGTCTATTTCAGAAGTGGGTGGGTGAAGTTCTGTCACCTCCCATGTGCAGGAGGTCAGTAAGACTAGATGATCACAATGGTCCCTTCTGAACTTAAAGTCTATGAGTCTATTTTGCTCCAAAACATGAGACTGTAAAACAACATCTTCTTTATAATTAGCTCTGTGCCATCTGTACATCTACTGGCTTCAGGGACAAAAATAAGTTTTTACTGGATTTTCTATTAGCAAACCAGAGCTGCAGCACCAGTCTCCTACCTGATCCTGTTGCCCAGAACTCTTTCAAAGTCCCAGCCTGGTTTTTCATGGTTATCTTCCCACTCGCGCAACAATTCATAAAAGATGTCCCTATTGAACAAAAGATGCAAACAGGTCAAGTCCTGGGCCTTCAGCATCTGAACCAGTAGCCACTGACGCCCAGCCAACAGTTCACAAGATATCCCCTAATTGAATACACTCCAAACTGAATAAAAGTCACATCTCCAAAGCCTCATGTATCCTACCACTTCGCTGCAGTGACCATCACCACTGAGATTATCAGTTTCAATCTGCAGCCCACCACTGACAGGTGCTCTGCCTGAGCTCAGGCATCATGACCAAAACACCCATCCCATTATTAGACAGAGTATTTTTTTTTTTTTGGAGATATCCTATCTCATAGAACTGGAAGGGACCCCGAAAGGTCATAGAATCCAGCCCCACTGCCTTCACTAGCAGGACCAAGTACTGATTTTGCCCCAGATCCCTAAGTGGCCCCCTCAAGGACTGAACTCGTAGGGTAAGGGTCAGATAAGCAGATGAACCTGTGTGGTGGATCCCTTAATGAAGCAAAGAGAATAGGAACCACATGAAATTACTTCTATGTGAAAAAGAGAACTAGTCGAGAGGAGACAAGTCGAGAGGAGACGCTCCCCTACTCTCCCACCACAAAATAGAAAAGAGACAGGAGGAGCTCCAAAGGCTGAGCTGAACCAGCACTGCGTTGTGCTGTACTTCCATGTCAACAACTTCTGCAGAATTTAGACTTCCATTGTTTAAAGAGATTAAGTCCTTACGCCCTGTAAATAGTAAAGGCCTGTGTTTTTAGAGCAAAACATCCCTCAGACTATCCCCACTATGCTGTATATATACACAGTATAGCTGGATGTTATGGCATCCAATTATTCACGACCATGGATAGAACATACCCCACACACACTAAAACTGGAGGACATTTACCTTTGCTTCTTAAATATATGAAAAGCCCTGTCACTTGGAAAGTTAGAACGATTGTCCGTTTCTGGCTGGAAAGAAACGGACTGGACAGACGAAGGCAGCAGAAGGGACACCTATTGAACATATAACAGAGTCCATTAGTATAATGCAATTCTCTGATTTGACACACAGCCTAACAGTTGGAAGGGTAAAAAGAAATGAATGTGAACTTACGTATTACCACATTCAAGCTGTTCAGACACTAACCATTTCCTAACCATTAATGAGTAACTGCTGGTCAGCACTAGTGCAGAAAAGGCACAGACACAGTCACTCAGTAGAATGGTAAGGGGGCATCTCCTATCACTTTTGAGGAACTCTCCTGAGACCAGGAGAACAGAGCTAGCAGGCACTTGCGCTGGGGAAAGAGCCCTGTGCAATCATTTAATGCACGTCAGCTCAACACAGGGATTCTGAGGTGAGAGTAACAGCTGGTGATTCCTATGTCATCATCTCTCCTCCCCTCTTCTGAAAGAGAGAGAATCCCTTCAATCGGTAAAACAGCTTCATCACAGCTGCTACCTCTATTTATATGGCCCTCATCATATAAGCATTTTACAATCATCAGTTGATTTTATCCCCACAACACTGCTTTCAGGCAGGGAAGTACAACCCCGTATTCTAATTTTTTTAAAACAGATTGGGGACTGAGGCACAGAGTAGATTAAGTGTTTTGCCCAAAACAACAGAGAAAGTTTGTAGCTGAGCTGTGAAATGAACCCAAGCCTCCTGAGTCGCAGCCCAGTGCCATATCCATTAGGCCATCCTTCCTTCCTCCAGACTCACCGCAGGGAAAAGGGTAAGAGTGAAATCCTGGCCCCACTGAATTCACTGGGAGTTTGGCCACAGACTTCAATGGAGTCAGGATTTCACCCTAATTGGAATACAAGTTAAAGGAATCCCCAGCTACAGATCACTGGCCCTAGCAATGCACAGGCTCAATCTGGACAGGAAAGGGTGGTTTTAACATAGTCTCCAAAGAAATTGAAAAATGAAGCCCCAGAGCAGGATGAACAGGGTTTGATATCAGAACCATCAAACTCACTGCGGCCAGGGAGAGATAGGCAAGCATATTACTGGCAACCCCTTGGAATTTCATACATTCAACTTTCTAAGGACTATTCATTTTTTACCTTGGCTGTGCTGCTTTCATAAGCTTTCATAAGCTTTGCATGCAAGCCAGGGGAAAAGGATGCAATCCGCTCATTCTCAGCCAAAAGTTTCAATGTCCCCTTTTCTAAACGAGAAATAATTCTGCAAAAAGAACACACACGGAACACAACATTGAGAGAGTAAATCTAAATAAAGTGTACATTTATTTTTACAAAAAACATGCAGGTTTAACCACTAGCCACTTGGGATCTGGATCCTACTAGCATCAACAGGACACACCGCAAATGCCATAGTCGCATGGAGGTGACATGAAGGAAAAAGTCCACTGAGTTTTTTCTGTTGTGGTGGCATCTGAAGCAAAACGCCAGTCTCACCAAATTCCAACTGCATTTTGGATGTGTTACCTCATAACCCACCATTTCCCTGTGGGGACACTTATACTGAAGCATAATGGTGTAGAGGCCACCACAAAGAAAGGTCCTAGTTTTCTAATTCAATCAAGTCATTAACTCAGTGCATGACTTTGCACAAATTACTCAATACCATGCCCCTAAAATGACCTCAGTGAAATCCCGATGCACGCTCTCTCGCCCACTCACACAACCCACCTACACACAAAGAAAGAGAAAGGGTCAACTTACTCAAACTGACAATCCAAGACCTGCACAGCAAAATAAACACAGTTGTGTACATTTCGAAAATGCTGCCGCTCTACTGCATCTGAAAACAAACAGCATTTAACAAAAATTGGTGGAAAATTCAGAAGCTAAATAGAAAAATCTAATGCAATTAATTCAGAGGGATGTAGGAATTACCAAACCCAGTCACATCATTGGTCCATCAAGACCAGCATCCTCCTTCCATCAGTGCCCATTACCTGACATGTAGAGGGGAGGGATAGCTCAGTCGTTTGAGCATTGGCCTGCTAAACCCAGGGTTGAGAGTTTAATCCTTGAGGGGGCCATTTAGGGATCTGGGGCAAAAATCTGTATGGGGATTGGTCCTGCTTTGAGCAGGGGGTTGGACTAGATGACCTCCTGAGGTCCCTTCCAACCCTGATATTCTATGATTCTATGAAGGCAAAACACCCCATTAAAAAGACCCCATTCTAACATAGTTGGCCAATTGTGCAATGTTGCATGAGAGGGGAGGATTCTTCCTGATCTCTGTGGCAATTAACTGGAGCCTGCCCTGAAGCCTGATATTTGATTGCCATTATTCTGTGCAGATCTGGTCACCTCATCTCAAAAAAGATAATTGGAATTGGAAAAGGTACAGAAAAAGGCAACAAAAATGATTAGGGGTATGAAATGGCTTCCATATGAGGAGAGATTAATAAAACTGCGACTTTTCAGCTTTGAAAAGAGACAACTAAGGGGGGATATGATAGAGGTCTATAAAATCATGGCTGGTGTGGAGAAAGTAAATAAGGAACAAGAATTAGGGGTCACCAAATGAAACTGATAGGCAGCAGGTTTAAAACGAACAAAAGGAAGTATTTCTTCATACAACGCAGTCAACCTGTGGAACTCTTTGCCAGAGGATGTTGTTAAGGCCAAGACTATAGCAGGGCTCAAAAAAGAACTAGATAAGTTCATGGAGGATAGGTCCATCAATGGCTATTAGCCAGGATTGGCAGGGATGCAAAACCGTACTCTGAAGTGTCCTTAGCCTCTGTTTGCTGGGAATGGGCAACAGGGGATGGATCACCTGAAGCACCTGGCATTGGCCACTGTTGGAAGACAGGATACTGGGCTAGATGGACCATGGTCTGACTCAGTTTGGCCGTTCTTATTTTAATCGGTATAACTACCAGCGTTCTTGCTGGACAAAATTATCCACCTTTTCTAGTTAGCAGTGGGTAATCAACTAGATCAGAGTTCATGTTAACTCCTTAAATCTCAGCCTTGGACAAGAGGCTGCTTCTCTCTTAAGGGTCAATCCTGGAAGTAATGGAATTTCCACTGATGTCAATGGGAGTTAGACATGCATGGAGTGAGCCCTTACAAGACAGATGTGGACTCCTGGGACAGCATCAATGGGATTCTATCCATCCCCTCCTTGACGAAACAATCAATCCAAACTGATTTGGAACAGGATGAACACATTGGCAGCACTATGTCCACAGACTGCCAACTGTGGGCCAAAACATCGAGCAAATAAACCAATTATAAGACTCCTCCAGAAAGTGGCTGCGGTGCACTGTGCTACCGAAGTCAAGACCAGCCAGGGTCCTTCAGATCTGTAGGTGACAGAACAGTAAGAGCAGCCAAAAATGGAGCCTTTTCCTAACAGACAACAGGAGCTATTCTCAGCTAGAGGTCACTCTTTGCACACCTTACCCAAAAATCCATCTGACGACTAACTTAGTGTAAGGTCTAAATTTGCCAAAAAACTGTGTACAATTCCCACTGATGGGAACTGCACACGTGTCCCTAGGCAGAATTAGACCTTAAACTTACAACGGTCTTTCTGGGTTTGAAGGAAATGATGGGAGAAGGAAATCTGGTGAATCACTCTTCTCTCTGAAAATTCGTTTTAGCAGGTAAATATGGAGTTCTTAGAAAATAGCAGTGAGCTACCATAACCTGGTTTTCAATAGCCTACTAGATTATAAAACACCCGTTCATTCCAAATGTCAAACTAATTTGGTGGCCTGGTCTATAAGTTTTGGGCTAAATACCCCTGTCACTCCATAGTGGAACATCCCCCTCATATCAACAGGAGGGTTATACTAGATCAAGGGTAGACACTGGTCTTTTTGTAGTAACTAAGCTTTTAGGGTTCTTTATTTGTTCACTACCTGACTGCCATATTCCATACCACTCACTGAGATATGCTAATTCACTTAATGCAGGCCTCAGAAGTCTTCAGTGTAATGACTTTTGGTCAATAAATCCCTGAAGCTGGATTTGAACCCCTTGAATCAGAGGTGATATGCTCTGTATCCCATAACCCAGGCCTGGGAACAACCTAGTCTCCATTCAAGAGCATTGCTGACCTTTACATCCTTGATTGAATTCCAGGTCATTCTCACCATCTTCCGAAGAAGTTGTGCCCTTGGATGTTAGCAGCTGCAGGACAAAGAAGAGCTCCAGGAAAATATTTGGAACCAGATTTTCTGGAAGAGGAAGTGAGATAAAATGGTTAGATACTCAGCATTAGTCTATGTTAATAAATCAAGATAACAATGAGGATAATCAAATCTCAAGCTTACAGTCTCAGCTGATCCATACAGGACTCAACAATGCTGATACACAGCCATGCGCATTTGGGTAGGTGCATTATAGAAAGCGTTTTACCTCCTTTCCCCCAAAAGTTAAACCATGGGTAACAGTTTAAAACAGCTTATAAACCACTTCAACCTAATAAGCATTGTCAGGGAAGAGTCCTGGCCTCTGGTATTCACTTTTCCAGTTGGGCCAATACAGTTCGAGTCTGCTGAGGGGTTCAGGGAATTGTGTAGGGCCCATCTTGTTTTCTAGGCTTCTGTCCAGTGAGGGGTGGATATACTCTTTTGAGCAGGAGGGAGGTTTCTGTTTATTTTTCCAGGCAGCACTCACTTGTATTAAGTCATCCCTGCATTCTGGAAATAGTAAGTATTTAAAGAAGATATTCCATGCCATGGTCATCTCACTACTCCCAGTTCTTTACCTGCTATACAAGTTGAATAGAGCTGAGCCAGCTGTTCCAGCTGTTTCTTGCAGGAAACTTTAGTGAGATCTGCACAGGTCACTAGCTGACTATCAGTAGCAAGACTTCCACTCCAACTGTAATTAGGCTTGGTAGGTGTACTGGGATCCAGAGACAGGCCTGCAGGAGACGTTTGGTGCAGCAACTTGCATCTGAAATTCAAAGTCAATGACTTACAGAGGAACTGAAGATGACACACACCACATTCAACACAGGAAGATTTCTTTTCATTGTATGGTTTGCTGGGATTCCTACAAGAATTGATCACAACATTTACAGAATCTAATGCAGTTTCCATACAGGAGATGGGTTAAATTACCTAATACATCTATTTTCTGCCTAATGACAAAAGATTGTCTTGTGGTTAAGGCACAGAACTGGAATTCAAGAGAACTGGGTTCGAACTCTAAATCTGCTGTGGCTCAGAGTGTGACCCTAGGCAAGTCACTCAACCTCTCTGTCCTATAGCTTTCCCTTTCCTAAAATGGGGTGATAGGCACTGCATTACACCTCTGCGCACCCTACTAGCTTTCAGTAGGTTTGCATAGGTAAAACAGAGCATCAGCTGAAGACAATGGTGTTACATAAGTATGCTTGAGCGTGCAGTCTGACCAACAGAACTTTACATTAATGCAATAAGGAGTAACTGAAATACAATAAATTCAGGACCAATATGATGCCAGAGTCACTTTTCACTTAAAGGTGTGCTTCTACTCTGCAGAGTGAAGGCTGAATTTGAAAACTTGTTAGTCTGATACCACGTTCATTTTCATCTCATCTGCTTTTAGGTCAATTTTTGATTAAACAACTAGTATCTGGTCTGGATATTTTCTGTTAATTTACAACTTCTTATTGGCAATGTCCTAATAAAGGGAGATGTATGAACCCCTGCAGATGTGTCCCCACCCCTGTTCATACTGTACCGTTCTTTCTTCAGCATCTCCCTCTCCTCTTGAAGGCTGCTCCCAGTTATGGAGGTAACGTTCCCTTCCTGGATGGCAGCAAAGGTCTCAAGACTGGTCCCAGATGGAAACCGAGCAGCTGGAGACTGGCTGACGGGCGTGGAAGTGAAACACATCTTAGGTTTTGAGTGGGAGCGCTCAGCACTCACTGGAGTTGGGTTGATTCGTCTTGATGGCTTGCTTTTGCTGCAACAATTTAAGAGAGGCTTCCACTTAAATGAAGCATAAACTGATCAAGAGAGAAAATAGTCAAATCCATCAAACTTATTCAGAGGATTTTGATGCCAGTGTAAAATTGATAAGGAAGGAGAGACTCAAGATACAGTGCAACCGTAATTGCATCTGGCAGGGTGGCTGATTTTACCCCAGTCAGTAGACAAAGAGTGGGTACATCCTACAAATATAGACTTCAATGATCCTGATGAAGTACAACGTATTTCCTACTACTACACTGCTGTGACTTAAAAGTAACTATGATCACCATGGGGGAAAACGGATGAAAAATGGATACTACTCAACTTATCTAGCAACATTGTAAGACTGCTAACCTAGGATATACCAAGTTTTGGCTGCCCATCAGTTCATCATATAGTCATCATATAGTCCCAAAATGTTCATGAAAGCATGACATAGTGGCCAAAGAGGGTCAGTAGAAGTCAGGACTCCCAGATTTCTATTTTTGCCTCTGTCACCAACCTGCTTTGTAACCTGGACAAATCCTAATCTCTCTTCACCTCTGTTTACCTATCCATATAATATTGCTTATCCACCTCACGAGGGTGATGTGAGGCATAAGATTTGTAAAGTGCTGTGAGATTCTTGGGGAAAAGGCTCCATAGAACAGGAATATGTCATTTTAAATAAAATGTAGAAATTATGATAAAATCAGTGTTCTACAACTGACATCTTTTTTCCCAATGAATCTGCTGCCTACTACAATGTTAGCTGCTAGGGACCTCAAAAGACTACTTATACTGTTACTTCCAGACTTATATTTGACTGGTCTCCTCAAACTTTTCACATCAGTCACACTCTGCACAGCTTGAAACTTACTGCTTGTGATGGAAATGCATCATATCCTGCAGGCCAAAACCATCTCACAGAGCATCATAAGGATTTCCCATCTTTAAATCCCCACCGTCCATGTGGAACCCTATTTCTCAGGAGAACTAAGAGGTCTAACCAGCTCTAAAATCACTTCAATTAACTGACTTTAGAACTGCACAGACCAGGCAGCAGAAGCTTAACTCTCCCTGCAAGGTGGTTAATTTATTTATTTATTTATTTTTGGTGTGTGTGTGTGTGTGTGTGTGTGTGTGTGTGTGTGTGTAGAAGATACTTACCTC